AATTGCAGAACTTCTTGGTGTAATAACATGACTCATAAATTATAAGTAATAGTAACACCTAGTCGTAAATATCTATGAAGCAAAATATTTTCATATTGAAGGTGTTCACTTTTCTCTATCTGGTAGTGAGTAAAGTCACTACCTCATGGGGATTCGTTTTTCAATTTGATTTGAAATTTTTAAAAAGAAAAATTAAACTTTTTTGCTTTGGCCAAAACGAATGCCAACCTCAATTTTGGGAGATGATTCGACATATAATAGTGGTTACTCGACATGAGAGAATTGTACATTAATAATTAGCATTCGCCTAGTTTGCCATGTAACGTGTATCCTCTTAACATAGAATCTAAACAAAGAACTGACAGTATTACGAAATAATTAAGCTATGAAAAGTCATATTCCATGTATGCTTGCGACATTATTTTATTTTTAACTCGCTCCTTCCGTGTATTGAAATTGTACATACATAAATTATGGGAATAACAACATGAGGGACAAAATAAATCGATAACCTGAAAATTGATCACAGATAAGATTTTATTGTTTATGTGAATTTAAACCAATCAAAAACCAGTATTTCATCGAAGCTGACAGGCTTTATCGCATCAATACGTTTTTCAACCCCGTACAAATAAATGATGATAAATTATAATTTTTATAAAGATAAAGACAAAGCGTATTTTTCTGTCAGCTCACAGTATGTATAAATTAGGAACCGATAATTTTAATATTTGTTATGAGCAATAACGATTATGTGAGCTGCATTTATATAAGTTCTAAGTTAAAGCTTACAGATGATCACAGAGTTGTTTTATAAATATTTTATCAAAAATATAAGTATTGTTGTAACCTAAATAACCTATTATTAATGTACATAAAGAACTAGGTAATGTGGGGTTACAACAAAACCTGTATGCTCATTGAAGCAAATGCAATCAGGACGATATTCGCTATCGCAATCGATTGTGGCCTTGGGATTGTTGTTCTGCTGAGTTTGTAGTCTTGTTTTTTTCTTAATTTGGAGCATACTTTTGCAATTGCCGCATAGAATAGATGATGTAATTTTCTCATTGAGCTGGTTAATGTCCATATCCTCTAGAGCTTCTTCGGACAGTAAATATCTTGTTATTTCGCTCTGATATCCTTACGTCAAGTTCTTCATTTGTCACGAATTTGTGTTTTTTGATAAGCTTTCTTTGTTGGTCACTTCCTGTATCGACTCTATTTAAAACCGAAATATTTTTGCAGTGTTTCCGAAGGATGGAGATGATATAGTCGATTTCGTTTTTCGTTGAGTTGTCTGGTCTTTTCCAAGTCCATTTCCGTTGGGGAGATTTCATGAAAAATGTATTTAGGCAGTAGAGATTTTCGTTGTTTCGGAAACTTCTCCTTGGCTATTCCTTCCTCCCAGCAGTGACCAATCTTCAAGCTTCTTTCTCCCAAACTTTGCGATAAAGTCCCCTAGTATGACGATGAAGTGCGCTTCTTCCCTCCATCTGTTTTACTCTGACTATGTCTACATACACTCGTTTTAACATAGCCACTAACTGCCAAATCGATCATCGGGGAGAACTTTATGATGAAATCGAGGAAAACGGCTTCAACAAAATATAAAAAAGATATAATGGGGAGCTCTTTGACAGAATATGAGAAACTTCGAACTGTAGTAAACATGACAGCCCGTAATGAGAAGAAGATTTTCTTCCTAGTAAATTTCCGTGATTTCCTGATCTATGAAGTTCTGAATTTCTTTATTGTTCTCATCAAATTAATCCTGTTGTTTTGTTGTGATAAACCCCCTTGATGCTTGGTAGGCTTATAGCATAGCTGTTATAATCAAAATTTTTGAGTTTTTTCTGAGACAGAAAACTATTTTTAACTACTGGTCAATTACAAAAGCAAAACAGTTTGTTTATTTCATTTTTGTCATTACCATAAAAAGTATAACGAGCACGCCCTTGTTCTTTCATTTTTTAAGTGAATATGAATTAATTCTAAAAACTCTTATTCGATAATAAAAAAAAAAACCTAACGACTTTCAATTCAGTCTATTCAGTCAGCGAACATTTAAATAATTATTAATAAGACAAGTATGTACCTACCAAATTCATTTGTCATTTAAATACCAAATTACATTATTAAAAATTTACGTGCTTTATTTATTTGATACTCATCAAAATAATCGGTGGTTTACCATAAATAATTACATGCAATGCTTTTGAATTCAATGTCGTTCGTCCAATATTCGTATCATATTTTTATTTTATTTAATTCTTTGTAGTATTTGATTGCTTTTTATGTCATAAGCTTTCTTCTTCAGATTGCTTTTATGAATCCGTATCTATGACATCCAAATTTTTCTCGAAATTTAACTGATAATTGAGATTACCTTTCGGTATTTGAAATGGTGTATAATCATATGAAGAATGTATGCTTATTATAATTTAATATAGCAATATCAATCAATTCTTGGATAGTTTTGGAACGATGCTTATTCCTAAGAGCTACAAGGCTTTCCTATAACGTTGAATGAAACCTTTCAATTGGTCAATCCGAATTAGGATTTCAAGGTGTAACAAAATGTAACTCAATCTTGTAAGTTTTACAAAGATCTTGGATTAAATTACTTTTAAAAGCTGGACCATTATCCGTAGTAATTTTATTAGGTGTTCCATGGTGTGAGAAGAATTTAATTAAGTTTTGACAAATCTCAATTGCGTTTTCGTTAATAGGATACGCAGTTACAAATTTTGAGAAATTATCTCGTATTGCTAAAAAATCAAAAAGTTTTGAACCTGATGGAGTTGGCTTATAAATAACCTTGTAAGAATGTCGATCATATTTCGTTTTCTGACAAGTTTCGTATTAATGAAATTAATTACATCGCGTTCAAGGCTTGGCCAATAATATGACTGTTTAATATTTTTGATGTTTTCTACTATACCTCGATGTGATGTTTTTGTTGTGTGATATCTTTCAGTTATCTTTTTTTGTCCTTGATCTGTTACATCTTCAAGAAGGGTGTTGGAAATCACAAGTTTAAATGTGTTATTCCTGAAAGTTCCTTGGAATATCCTCAAAACAAGAGGTTCTAATTCTCTATATATATATATAAGGAAAATGTGGACAATAAGTGTCTGGTACTAAATAGTCTCTAAAAAGTTCTTGTTGTTCTCTTGTAATTGAATTTCTTTGATGAAGATTATTATTCTTTTCTCTATTTTGAATAATTTTTTCGTTGTTAGATACGGCTTTCCCTTAGTAGTCAATCTAAAAATTATTTTATTTTTGTGAGTATTCACACTTTTATCTACATATGGTGCTCCTAAGATAGGATTTTCAGTAGCTGAATGAACTGTTTCTGTTTCAGATCTAGTTTTTTCTAATAATTTTTCATTTCGATTAGGCGATCCTTTATGTTCATTGGATGGTCCTGGTTTTGGCGATTCATTCTTATTTTCTTTAGATGGTGCTGGTTTAGGTGATTTATTTTCTTTAGATGATCCTGGTTTAGGCGATTATTTTCTTTAGATGGTCCTGGTTTAGGCGATTCGTTTTTTTTTTACAAGAATTACCTTCTTATCATCAGGTTTGATTTGAATGTCTGATATTATTTTAATTCTTAAGCTTTTCCTAGCTTTTTCCACTTTCTTTGGAATAATTTTCTTTGTTGTTCTGATCAGTCACGATAGTGAATTTTTGACCAAATAAGTAGGGTCTAAAATACTTTGTCGCCCATACAATTGCAAGAAGCTCTTTTTCTATAGTAGAATAGTTACATTCTGCTTGATTGAGTGTTCTACTTTCATAGCAGTTCCAATAGGACCTTGAGAAAGAACTGCGCCTATTGCGTAGTTTGAAGCCTCTGTTGTAATGACAAAGGGTTTTGAAAAATTAGGATATTTTAATATCGGATCATTCATTAAAATATTCTTACAGAGATTAAATGCATCGATAAATTGTTTAGCATAAATTATTTTAAAATTTTTATCTAAACATTGAGTTAAAGGTTTGGTGATTTTAGCAAAGTTTTTAATGGAATTCCTGTAGTAGGTATCCTACAAGTCCGAGCAAAGATTTTATTTCTTCTGGTGTTTTTGGAATTTTAAATTTCTTTATTGCTTCTACTTTCTTTTCATTTGGTTTTATACCGCATCTGAGGTTATTGTATGTCCAAGGAATTTAACTGTTTTGTGGAGAAAATCACACTTATTAGCGGAGTAAAAACGCCGGCGAAAGACGCTTCTTTCTGGATTTTTTTTTTTTTGAGGTAGAACCAAACGAGACTTATATAGCATTATTCAGAATTTCACTGGCCATCTGAAATGCGACTTCACGACATCCTCAGTTGGGGCTGACTCATTTTATAGCAAAAAATATGTCAATAATGACAAAATTGTAAAAACTTACTTTTTGACATATAACTCACGATATCTTCAAAAGTATTCTAACTATTGAAACGATTTTTTTTTTGTTGAAAAGAAGACACTTCACCGGTTGTAACGGTGTATGACAAGTAGTCATTGTCACCTCAATTTTTTTCAAAAAAAAATAATAATATTGATAATCATCTTTTATGCATTGCTTTTTTCAGCAATCGAAAAACTTTTTTATTTTTGAGAATTTTACCATATATCCTGCGAGTGAATTAAAGTAAAAAGTATATAGAAGTTTTTAAAAAAAAAACACAGTTAGTTATCAGTAACCGATAACGAGATAACTGCAGCTGAACATAGACCTCCCTAAATATTTTGCTCTGTCGGGTCGGAGCGACGCGGCCGGCGTCCCATCTGAGACGAGTACGGCGGCATGCCAGCCAATAGTATTGATCAATTTGGCGTTTGCCGTTAAGCTGATTTTCTTTTTTTGGGTTCAAATTCGAGTTTGTGAGAAAAAGTTAGTGGATAATTTTTGTGCCAACATTTTTTGTTCGTGTAGTAGGTATACTTGTACTTACATAATTATATTTACATAATATAATATTCGATTGTAACCTATAGATTTGAAGAAGACATTCTAATGGAGTGCATTTTGTGTGGAAAATCCATTGATGGATTACAAGACGAATCGGTAGTACACAAACCAACAAAACAGGGTCTACAAACCATCTGTAGTGCTGCTGAAAAAAGACAGGATACTTTTGGAATACGAATTTTAGAAAAAAAATACGCTATTTTAGATGGAACTTTAAAAGTAAAATTTCATAAAACTTGCAGAAAAACGTATACTAGTAATATGAAATTTGCTTCTGCCACCACCAGTGAAACCGATGATCTATTAAACCAGGCAACTGCTTGCTCTAAAACCACCAGAAGTCACACTGGTTCCTTTGATATAAGAAGTATGTGTTTAATCTGCAACAAAACTGGACCCAGAAAAATTAAACAAAAGAAGGAAAAATTAACTTCGGTACAAACAGGTAAGTAAAATTATTTTTACTTGAAGCATGTTAAATTCACAAACATATAACAAATATCTCATAATAAAATCTCATTTTAATTCAGTATATTGTAGGAAACTATATTTTATTTGAAAAATATGCTAATAAGTTACCTAGATGTAGTGAGATAAGAACAAATAGTATCTAGGTTTTTATTTTATTTTGAGGAATATTTGATTTCATATACCTAAAACATTTTTTTCCATTACCTACCTATTTGTCTTATAGGTTCTGGCAAAAATACGTTTAAAAAAATAATTGAGGCTGCCAAAGAGAAAAATGATATATCAATGATTTCAAAATTATGTGGCTTCGAAGATTTGTTTGCTTATGATGCCAAATACCACAAAAGCTGCTATACCCACTCCATATCGCGGCGAAATATACAAGCCACAAAAAATGAAATGAAAAAATCTTCGGATCAACTTCCGCAAACTTTATCGAAATCAGAGGAGTATTTTTCAGATGAGTCCGATACTACAGATAATGAAAATTATTTCACGACGGAAAACAATCATGATAGTGGCATACAAGTAATTTTACATAAGGCAGCTGAAATACTGAAAAGGGAAATTCGCAAATTTCAGTCTGAGCAAAAAGAGTTCCCCATGCCTGAAAACATTTCTTCATCTGAATTTGAAAAACAAGTGCCCAAATTACTTCTCACATTTATGTCTTGGCTAATAGATGATAATGCTTTTAACAATGTGGAAAGTGAAGTGGCAGAAGCAGTTATACCTTGCAGCATTATTATGGCTCTGGTTTCAAAAATTTATAAAAAAAATTACTTTCAATTTGGATTGGGACTGTTCATACATCATACAGTTCGTAGTAAACAACTTTTGGAGACTTTATCTGATATTGGCCTCAGCTGTACCTACAATGACGTTCGCCAGTTAACAACGGCACTTGTGAAACAAAAGGTCCATAAAGAACCAATTTATATACCACTGGGTATAGATATGGTTAGTCCTTCAATGAAAAATTATATCCATGCAAGTATGGATAATTTTGATCTAAATGAACAGACTATTGATGGTAAAAATACAACTCATAGCATGGCTATAGTTGTGTTTCAACAGCGAAATAATGATCGTAGTTTTGCACGTTCAAATATTTCCAGAGAAGGACCTTATTCGCTAAACACAGAAGACTTAGATTTTCCTTTCCAAAACATTTTGAAGTATAACAATCCCCCTAATCGTCCCAAGCCCTCATCATTCAAACAAATTGTTCTTAACAGACAAGAAGATGAAATTGCAAAAAAAACCAATCTAGCCTGGACACTTTTACGAAACTTTAATGGCGGAACCCCATTTTTTAATTGGTCCTCATATAATAATATTTTATCTGATAATGAGATTGTCGTTTCGGATATTTTTTACTTGCCATTTTTAAACAACCCCGCTACAGAATACGATACAATTTATACTTCAATGATACGCTTACTTCAATTAGCAAAGGAGCTTGATCAAAATCATATAGTAATAACAGCAGATCTTGCAATCTATTCCAAAGCTAGAGAAATTTTATGGAACGATCCACCAGAACTAAAAGGCAGTGTAACATTAATGCTTGGAGGCATGCACTTGAATATGGCATATATTGCTAGCATAGGCTACATTTTTGGTGACGGCGGTCTTACAACTATGCTGACTGAAACTGATGTATATGCCGAAGCTACATGTAAACTTATGATGGAAGGTAAACAGTATTCACGGGCTATTCGTGGATTGACTTTAGCTGCTGATGCCTTATTCAGATTGTTTTTCAAATCATTAGAACATTGGTTTAACAATCCAGAATCAAATAAATTCCTAACTCAGGAGCTTAATACTTCTATAGAAGATTTGAGAAATGAATTTAGAAGCCATAAATATGACAAGCATAAATTTGATAAATTTCTTGAAAAAATTGAGACGCTCCAGAATATCATCAGACGTTTTGTTGAATCCGGCTATGCCTATTCAACATTTAAGTTTTGGCACTCTTTCCTAATAGCAGTTGAGCTTCTCTGGAGACTGCTCAAGTCAGAAAGAAATGAAGATTTTCAGGCACACTTATGTGCTGTATATGATACACTGCCATATTTATCAGCTGCTGGACGAAATTTATACTTTAAATGGGTTCCAGTATATCTATCCGATATGGAGAAATTGAAAGTAGAAGTCCCTGACATGTTTGAATTTCTAGCAGCTGGTAATTTTGTTGTAAAAAAAACCAACGGAAAAAAGTTCAACTGTGTGGCCTCAGACATGGCTCTCGAGCAATCCATTAATAAAGACTGCAATAGCTCTTCTGGAATAATTGGATTTTCTAAACAACCAGGGGCTCTTCTACGATGGATGACAACAAGGCATATATTGGGAGATTATTCTAAAAATTTTTTGGGTAAGTAGGTGATCATTTAACTAACAAACTTTTTTTCTAAAATATTTTATTTTTTTCCACAGAAGCCACCTCAAAAATAGTCAAAAAAGGCAAGAAAGAAGCGTCTCTGCAAACCGACTCTAGGATGGAAGGAAAAAATGAAGAAGATGTTCTAAAAATCCTCAATAGCATAGAGAACTATTGGTGTAATCCGTTTGATCTAGATAATGCCCCAGACCGCTTAGTTAATATATGTACAGGAAAAATAGTTAACGAAGAAGTAGAGAAGAGTCTGGGAAATTTCTTAGAAATTGCAACAGAGAAAGTCCAACATATTTTGAATAATCCACGTGAAGAGGATTTCTGGAAACCTGCGAAAAGAAACAAAATACAAACTTTCAAAGACACCAAAGTCAAGCCAAAAGCCATGGCAAAAAAAACGTTCATTGGATCAGAATGCATGTTTCGTCGGATAATATGTGCAGCACGATTTCAAGAAATGGACTTGTCTAATATATTATCATATGAGTTGTCTTCAGTTCCAGCATCTCTATTTCATGAAGATGGTTCTATGCGTAAAACGACAAAATCCGACTTGGCTAAAAAACTTGAGTCATTTACTGAAATAATTACAACTATTAACACTAATGTCAACTCCTATGTTATTGATGGAATGGTTTTGATTCGGGAAGTAAATTTATCTTCGATTACAACATTCAATGACTTTGGACGAATGTTTCTGGGTAAAATTTTAAAAGAAGGAAGAAAATACGGCTCGAAAAGAATAACTGTCATATTTGATACATATGATGCGAATTCGCTCAAGAACACCGAAAGATGTAGACGTGGAAATTCAGACACACCCGAATTCCAAGTATCTGGATCAAGGAAAGTACCAAAATTTGACATTTTTCTCAAATCTTCCACGAATAAAACCTCCCTGTTAAATTTTTTAACCAATTACTTTGTACAGAACAGCCCAATATTATTAAAAGACGATGAAACATTTATTATAGCCGGAGGATTTGAAAATCCAAAAGAGGCATTGTTTTTAACTAGATCCGATTATCCAAAAAATGTATCGTCGTTGAACAGCAATCAAGAGGAAGCCGACACCCGGATAATTCTTCACGTTCTAGCAGAGGTTGAGTTCAGCAAATCAATTATTGTGAAATCCGTGGACACGGACGTTTTTCTAGTACTTTTACATTATTACAGTACCACTGAAAAATTATCAGAATGTTGTTTGTATATACAATTAGGACATAGTAAAAACAAACGTTATATTGCCATACATGATATTGCAAAGAAATTGGGTCCCCTCGTTTGTGGAAATCTTCTAGCAATTCATTGTTTAACAGGCTGTGATACTACCAGCGCGTTTTACAAAATAGGAAAGAGGACAGCTTTTGATATGTTGACAAGGAATATCAATGTACTAGCAGAAATAGGAAATCTTCCTAATTTAAGCGAAGAAGAAGCCATCGAACTAAGTACTAGATATGTGTATACCTTATACAAAAATAAAAATAAGGACATTGTTAATCTCAATGAAATGCGGTGTTTTTTAACGTCAACAACCAACCGCACGGCAGCAGAACTTCCCCCTACAGATGACGCTTTTAAGCAGCACCTTAAAAGGTAGCTTTATCTGTTGGCTTCATATTTGCAAATAATAGTTATAAAAGTTATATTTTAGGTGTATATATCAATTAAAAATTTGGTACTCCAGCCATCAAGCGGAAAATCATTTTGAAGATCCCAGTAGGTACGGCTGGATATTGGAGGAAAATGTATGGGTGCCTGTTTTATCAACCCAAGAACCTGTGCCAGATAATTTACGAAAAATTTTATCCATCCGCTGTTCCGACAAAATCTGCAATAACAGCAGATGCATTTGTGTTACTCAGGGATTAAAATGCTGTACTGAGTGCAAATGCAAATCCTGTTCAAACGCAATTGTAATAGAAGATGCAGACTCGGATTCTGATTCATATTAAATTTAAGATTCATACGACACAAAAATCATAGTTATTATTCAATAACATGTATGTTGTTCCACGAAAAATAAATTCCACGCCTTACGCTGTGCCCCGGAATGCAGTCGCGCTTGATATTCGGGCCAACCGGCCGGCCGGCCGCGTCACTTTTGAAAATTCAAATTCAAATACCTCGAAAAGTATAACACATAACTGACTAATTTTTTTTCAGAAAACTTCTATATACTTTTTACTTCAAATCACTCGCAGGACGTATGGTAAAATTCTCAAAAATAAAAAAGTTTTTCGATTGCTGAAAAAAGCAATGCAGAAAAGATGATTATCAATATTATTAATTTTTTTTGGAAAAAATAGAGGTTACAATGAATACTTATCATAGACCGTTACAACCGCTAAAGTGTCCTCTTTTCAACAAAAAAATAATCATTTCAATAGTTAGAATACTTTGGAAGATATCGTGAGTTATATGTCAGAAAGTAAGTTTTTATAATTTGGTCATTTTTGACAAATTTTTTGCTATAAAATGAGTCAGCCCCAACTGAGGATGTCGTGAATTTGCATTTCAGATGGCCAGTAAAATTCTGAATAATACTACATAGGTCTCGATTGGTTCTACGCTCAATTTTTTTTTTTAAAGATTTCGCGGCCGTTTTCACTCCGCTATATCTAATTGAATTTTTAAATCGAATTGAATAAGTCGTTCAAATACTTGTCGTCAAGAATCAAGGTGTTGTTGAAGTGATCTTGAGTATATAATTATGTCGTCCATATAAACTAAACATATTTTACGAAGTAATTTTTTTAATACGTTTTCTATAGCTTTTTGAAACGTTGAAGGAGCATTTTTTAATCCGAAGGGCATTCGTAAAAATTCGTAATGTACATGCTCTACATTAAACGCAGTTTTGGGTATGCTTTTCGGATCCATTTAGATTTGGTGGAATCCGCTCGATAAATCAAATGTTGTGAAATATTGCGATCTTCCAAGCTTACCTAATATAACCGCTATATTAGGTTATGGATATCTGTCATTTATGGTTTTCTCGTTTATTTTACGATAATCTATAACGAGTCTCCATTTTTTCTTTCCTGATTCGCCTCCTTTTTTTGGAAAAATCCAAACAGGTGAGCTCTAAGGTGAACTAGAAGGTTGAATAATTTTATCTTATAACATTCTTACTATTTGATTCGATCGAATTGAATAAGTCGTTCAAATACTTGTCGTCAAGAATCAAGGTGTTGTTGAAGTGATCTTGAGTATATAATTATGTCGTCCATATAAACTAAACATATTTTACGAAGTAATTTTTTTAATACGTTTTCTATAGCTTTTTGAAACGTTGAAGGAGCATTTTTTAATCCGAAGGGCATTCGTAAAAATTCGTAATGTACATGCTCTACATTAAACGCAGTTTTGGGTATGCTTTTCGGATCCATTTAGATTTGGTGGAATCCGCTCGATAAATCAAATGTTGTGAAATATTGCGATCTTCCAAGCTTACCTAATATAACCGCTATATTAGGTTATGGATATCTGTCATTTATGGTTTTCTCGTTTATTTTACGATAATCTATAACGAGTCTCCATTTTTTCTTTCCTGATTCGCCTCCTTTTTTTGGAAAAATCCAAACAGGTGAGCTCTAAGGTGAACTAGAAGGTTGAATAATTTTATCTTATAACATTCTTACTATTTGATTCGATCGAATTGAATAAGTCGTTCAAATACTTGTCGTCAAGAATCAAGGTGTTGTTGAAGTGATCTTGAGTATATAATTATGTCGTCCATATAAACTAAACATATTTTACGAAGTAATTTTTTTAATACGTTTTCTATAGCTTTTTGAAACGTTGAAGGAGCATTTTTTAATCCGAAGGGCATTCGTAAAAATTCGTAATGTACATGCTCTACATTAAACGCAGTTTTGGGTATGCTTTTCGGATCCATTTAGATTTGGTGGAATCCGCTCGATAAATCAAATGTTGTGAAATATTGCGATCTTCCAAGCTTACCTAATATAACCGCTATATTAGGTTATGGATATCTGTCATTTATGGTTTTCTCGTTTATTTTACGATAATCTATAACGAGTCTCCATTTTTTCTTTCCTGATTCGCCTCCTTTTTTTGGAAAAATCCAAACAGGTGAGCTCTAAGGTGAACTAGAAGGTTGAATAATTTTATCTTATAACATTCTTACTATTTGATTTTTTACTTGCTCTTTATGAAAATGAGGGTATCTATCGCTTTTGGTATGTATTGGAATTTTGTCTGTTGTATTAATAACATGCTTAACTTGATTTGAGAATGTTAGGGTATCTCCAGGTTTATGCAACATTTTATTGAATTTTTGGATAAGTTTGAAGAGTTAAAAGCGTTCTTCAGCATTCAGGTGTTCATGTCTTATTAGAGATTTTTAATCGACTTTTTCAGGGTCTTTCTTTTGTAGAGGTTTTACATGTGACATAGTTGTTTGTTTTTCAAAGGTTAATATCTCAAAATCATTGAGTTCGATCGGTTCGAATGGTAAATTCTCTTCAATATCACAATCTAGGACAAATGATCTGTCTGAGTGATTCAGAATATCTGCAGTGTAAGTATTGTCAACAATTGTCACTAATGTTGGTTGTATTCCAATAAACTCGTAATGCACATAAGGTATTTGCCAAGTTGTATAATTTGGTAGCTTAGTTTTAAAAGTAACCTTTTGTATAGTTTTAGGAGGTATTTCAACTCAAGTTTTTCCTGTATTGAAAGAGAATTTGTAAATAGTCATTTACTAATAACCTTTTTTTTAAATCAATATTTAAATTTAATTTACGAAAATGTTTTATACCGGTCTAGGACGTTCTGGCGCGACCGATCTGGCGCGGCCGATTTGGCGCGGCCGTTCTGGCGCGGGTCCGTTGTGGCGCAGACTCCGAAGCGGTCTGCACAAAGCCTATTTGGCGCAGGTATATTCTGGCGCGAAGACTTTATGGCGCAAATAATTGAATTGAAAACATATTAGCTACCATTTTCTTTCCCCCAAGAAAATATAAAACTTTTATTTGAAGTTTTCGATATATTAGACTGGCAACCCATGCAGCAAGGTTTGGTCGATACAACGTTGAAAGTACGATACTTCCCAACTTTGGATTACGTTGTAACAACAGTTGAATGTACAGTCGCGGCCATTGGCATTGGCACACACTTCAAAAACGCACCTCGTATTGCATCAAAATCTGACAAAAACTATAACCAACAAAAGTGGTCAGTGGCGTGTGTAATGTTATGTCCACCAAGTTCAATTTTAGACCTCATAAAAAATAAAAAATCCTTTTCTATCTAGCCTAGTAAAAACTAACTCCTTACAGAAAATGTTAATATTTGGTAGTACCGCCATTTTTATCAACTACTGTTTGCAATCTTCGTGGCATTGAGTTCGAAGCAGGTCTAGATTCTGTATTGTAAATTTTTTTCGTAAGGTTGGCCCTAATATTATTGATCATAACATGATCTTAATACATTCTGGAACGTAAAATTATCTCCAAAGCGTTCATTAGCGGATGGCAGCATTACATCTCCTAATTATGAATTTCTCGCGTCAGACGTCCATTAATAAGATAAATCTGCCCTGGACCTTTTAGCACTTATACAGGTCCTTGCCTGGACAGAAAATCTTCCGCTAGACTGATTAAATTGGATGTAGTCCTCCTCATACCTGGGTTCATCGCGGCCTATAAACTTTTAATGTTGAGCTACTATTGCATGACTGAAAAAAAAAGCTGTAATCGGCACTGTCTATTTCTTTGCACTGAAAATGGTTTTCGTGCCGCTGAAAGACATTTGGTACCAGTTTCCTTAATACGGCTTCGCGCAGTTTTAACTGAAGCTAGGAAACTAGTCAACTTTTTGGCTATAATTTCCGAAATAAATGATGGATATGAAACGACCTCATCAAGAAGAGATTGATCCTCTTGTCGAATTGTTTATCTCGGTCGTCTTCCTCGTTGTAGGTTCGTGATAGAAGCAGTTTCGACGGTTTCAACCCATTTTTTCTTCAAATTAATAATTATACTACTTCCACAACCAAGGGTTAAGGCGACTGCACATATAGTTTTCCCTTGTGAATTCATTAGAATTGCTTTCGCTTTTTTATCGTTGGTTAAAATATGGTACTTTTTTTTTCAATCTTATTTAAAAACTTAATAAAACCGTTCTAGTTCGCCACTGACTTATCACTTTGACACAATTTTGGCATTACCGGCTTGTTAAAAAAGTCAGATTTTGATGCAATACGAGGTGCGTTTTTAAAGTGTGTGCCAATTCCAATGGCCGCGACTGTACGTTGACAGGACGGCACAATGTCATAATTGAGACGTTGAATGTGATCGTTGAATTAACGTCGTTTTTTACGTTGGCCTCAATCTTATAACAACGTTGATCAGAAGTATTCGAGACGTTAGATTTCACGTTGAACTCAACCCTTATCACAACGTTGACCAGTTGTAATTAAGACGTCAGATTTCACGTTTAGCCTGAGGTTGAGCTGAACCTTTATTTTTTTATACAACTTGAAACAGAAAAAATAGTACATAGAACATGCTTCATAAGACATTTTATATCAAATTGAGTCCTATGAAACTTGTTCTATAGCTGGGTCTGTCAGAACAGTTTTCAAATAAAATAAAATTATCAAAATGTTTGAGGTTATAGATACTTTATTCCACAACTTTTTTAAATAAACACAAAATCTTTGACACAAAATTTAATATATCGAAACAGTAAAGGGGCACAAATTTGATCAAAATAAAACATGATATGGAGGATTGTTAAAAGTCAGCTGGCTTGCTCTTGAATAGGAATTGAGAAGTATACATACGCCTACCACCATTTTCCACCAATCGAAGTTAAATCCAGGCTGGACACATTAATAGACACACGATGACAAAAAAAATAACACCTTTTACACCTTCAATTATTTTAAATTTACACAAAATTAAAAACGTGAGTGAATAGG